CGAGGCCTTTCCATGGGTTGGGGCATGGCGGTGGGGGGTTAGCATGTCATTTTGACCGCTATTGCTAATGAGCAGAGAACACGGAGGAGAAGCGAGAACTCTTGGGATATGCCCTGAAACGTGCTGAAGCTTCTACACCTCCAGGTTCTGGACAGCAACAACCGTGACCTGGCAAGATTGTTTTGCGCTGTGGATATGCGAGAGGAGCTTCTGCTTTCGGTTTGAGGTCACGTGGGGGTCTCATCTGAGGAGAGGCTGTTTTCCTGGCAGGTTGACGGTTTCTCATTTGGGCAGAGGCATTGTTGGACATGCGCCAGAATCCCAAACATGGCGTGTTGACTTCAGAGTCTTCCTTCCACAGTGATCACTATTAGACCCATCTTGTACTCTGTTCACACTGAGGGCGGTAAGACGGAATTGCCGACCATCGGATCTTCATTTATGTCTTATATGTTGATGCTGTTGGCCTACTTCACCTGAAGTTTGTTTTGGCAGCTGGTTAGTCGTGGCCCTAGTCCTGCAGGTCAGGCTGCAAGGGGAAAAATCCGGTGCACGTGCCAGACACAGGTGCCCTTGCCTTCCAAGACGCGCTGCTTGAAGAGCTGAATGCTGCTGAGTGGCAGTTAAAGTAAACCTGGGGTTGGAAGTAGCCAGCCCTGACCTTGCTGGTGCTTTTTTTTAGAGAGACCCGATGCTTTGGCATGCCTGGACCCATGGTGCACCGAAAAGCATTGCAAAGAGAGCAGGCCTTGTACCAGCAAACCACCGAGCTGGACCTGCAAAGGAAGTGCGGCACTTAGACTTCAGAGCTTCTGCCTGGCTCGAAATTGCGCAGTTCAGCTTTTCAAGACCTGTGCGCTGCGCTGAAAAGGTCCTCCCCTATCATGACAGAAGGGTGCCGTGGACGCAGCTTATCAAAGCGCCTGTGTCAGTTTCAATGGTATCTCAGTTTTGCCAATGAGTAGGCGTCAAGTCAAGCAGGGTACTGGGATTTGTACGCCGTATGTTCAGATGGATTCCTCAGGCGACTCGAGAGGCTGGCTCATGAGTTGTGGGTTTGGTCTCTGACCCATCTTTTCACTAAGAGAGGAAAGGTGCTCAGAGACGTCTTCGATATGTTCTGGGAAAGCACGTGAAGTTCAGAATTCTTAGCATTGCATCCTTGTCTTGGTGCCGTTAGTAAACACACCCGAGACGGCCTTAATCCTTAGCCTGACCACCACAGCCCCAACCCCAAAGCCCTGAACTCTCGGCCTGAAACCCGAGTTTTTGTTGGGTCCCACACTCCTAAAGTCTTGACCTCTTAGCTCGGAACCTCTTTTCAGCAACGCGAGTGTTGCCGTGTAAGGCGAGCTGCAGCGAGCTCGATGGCTCAAGGTGCGACAGGGCCAACCTGTAACTCCAGCATAGTAGGGAATATGTTGGGAGGAATGGGGACTGCAAGCGGAATGTGTCTCAGACACTGAGCAGCCCTTAAATCGATTGCAAGACCGTATGCCCTTTTTCTTGGGCAACAGGCCACAAAACTGCCGTCAGCCAACAAGTGCTCCCCCGTTAGAGGCCCCCGGGCAAAACCCCAAACCTTTCCCGTAACCCCAACCCAAGTACCTACAGTTTTCTTTCGGCAAGGACGATGCAATTAGCTTTGTGCAGTTCAGTTGTGTTGTTTGCATCGGTATATGTCACCACCAGTATGAGGTGCAGTTGCCAGGGCAACATGTGCCAGATGTGTGGATCTTGACCCTCTCTTAGCAGTCCATGGTGGGTAATTCCGACCTACTGTGGCAGGCGGCAGCACCTACCACTTCAGCAACTCCCAGGACCTGTGCAGGGGGGAGGGGCTGGGGTTCAGATTCCAGGGTGAGGGTGAAAGGTTTATTCTAGATGGATTTGACAGCGGCCGTCGTAGCCCAACCGGATCCGAAGGGATTTATACAGTTTGTAAATGGTAGAAACCTAAAAGCTTTAACGGCCCTTCAAATCTGTGAGTAACGGGGGGGGGGGGGGG